AAACTTATAATAGAGAGCTGTAGTCGAAATGGCATTTGTTCCTGGATAAGGAAACAAATTAAGAAGAATGATAGCAGAAAACTAATAAATAAAATGAATAAGGTTAGAAATTAGTTTTGAGATATGAAGAAGAAATACTAATAAATAGAAGATCAGGAATTATTTGAATAAAAAAAGTAATACAAAGGTGAGCTCAGATGATAGCATTGCAAAATATTATTAGAAGAAGCAGAATTATGGATCATAAAGAATAAATTGAAAATATTATGGAATAGTAGAAGAATATACGAGATGAGATGAGATGAATTATATGAAATGAGATGTATCTGATAGCATCCGATGAGAGGATGTGTGGTATGATGAGAGTTAATGATATGAGTTGTAATTTGCTCAAATATTTTCTCTTGAGATTTGATTAGAGGATATTTTATATGAGGCTTTTAAATTAGATTATATTTTAATAACAATGAATTTATTGGCTGAGTTGATATAAGCTAAGATTATTTTAGATAAAATGTAATTTGTTAAATTTATATAAGATGAGATTGTCTGCTCTGAATTGAGATTAGATTTGATTATTATATTTCAGATTAAAAAGATATGATGAGATTTTCTTCTTTTTTCTTCTTAAATTTTTAAATGTATTATTGTTTAACTAATTTTTTTAGCTTTATATCTTAATTTCTCAGATACGGCCTATTTTATAATTTCATTCCACTTTTTACTGGGTATATTTTTGTAGGAGGAATATTCCCTCTCATCCTGGAGCCAAAACTTTGTTTGCTCTTTTTATATAATTTTTTATATTTGCTTAATTTTACATTCCCTCAGAATCGAAATTTTCTTCCTTTTTTCATTAGAATGCTACCATGGCGAGACCCTTATCCACAGACTGGCCAGCCGTATCTCGAACTGAATCACCGAATCCTCAGCGCAAATATTCTCGTCGTCGTTCACAACTAACTTTCGGCAAGTGGCGTGAGTTGACAAAGCGCGAGAGCATCATGCAAAAGTCTTTGGGTGATAGGTATAAGGAGAACCTAAAGCGAGTTGAGGGAGATGTATTTGCATCCTTCTGCGTGCTTTACGTAATGGCGCATTTGATCTTCGGATTCTGGCTCTATTTCGATGTGAGTCTATTGAGCTTGGTCTCCAATCTCACCTTTGAAAAATGATAATAATTTCGTATTTTTCCGGACTAGTCGACATAAGGGTGTAAACATTAAAAATTTTTTTGTATGATTAGGAGGGGCAATAAGCACTTCCTTGTTTGAATATACATTGTTAAGACTTTATCTACAAAACCCAGTGGCCGGATTAAATGGGCTACAAATAACTAAACTCAATTGTCTTATATTTTTATGGATTTCTTCGGCTTTGGCTTAGAACTTTGTCTTTTCGATGGTATACCTTTAAATTGCTCTTGCCATTAAAAGATCGCTGCACTCCTTCGTCAGGCATATATTTACCTCTTGTAATCATAGCAATTCTTAGTGCCGGTTGCCAGAATGCCTTTTTTTAGCCGATATATTCTAGGCTGATTTTCCATATATCAACGCCACATAGTGTGGATCTCTTTAAACCTCAATCATATGCTCTAATCTCTAATTCCATTTAAGTCGGAACTGTTGCAGCACTAGTCAAATTTCATTGTCTAAGCTTAGACAACTTTAGAGCATTAAATGGATAACTGGTAATATTTTGAAAATTGTTGAGTTTGCAGCGAAGAAATTTCTAGGTTGATCCCACCGAAGACGATGGAGTATTCAATTTGAATAGTTGCCAGTGACTTGAAGTATTTCTGACAATGGAGACCAGCTCTGATGCTGACCGTAGGAAGCTTACTATATTCTCGTCGGAACTACTGGAGGATTTTTTGGGGACTGTGCCAACAAAAAAGTTTCATTAAAGCCAAACCCCGATGAAGCATTTCATTGCACCACCAGAAATGGTAATTCAATGACTCAAAAATAACATTTTCTTAGTATAGATTTTAATAACAGCATATTTTTCATAATGCTCGATTTCAGTGGGCATAAGAGCAATAGACAGATATATGCAATTGTAACTTTTATGCAGTATTTGACAAAGCAATAGATACTTTTACTTTGCAGCCAAGCCGAAAAATGTATTTAAATGGCAGAATCGGGCCCGGTTACAATTAACTTGAAATTAGAAATTCGCGCTTTACTAATAGAGCTTTTTGTGCTAAAACGCCATTTATAC